CTAATTTTAATCCAATAATCTTAGATTTCCACCACTTCTGTCAATCTGTTAAAAGCCTCAATCATTTATCACCAAGGCTAGCCTGTTGATTGACAGCATTCACATCTAGGTGAAAGAGGGTTTGAACAGAACATGATATATAAATAAATATTGACTATGGGAGAGTTAAGCATTTTCCTTTCAAGATAAAATTGTTCTTGGTTTCATTACTGGTAAACGCTTCAAATAATGAACCTTCAACAGGTACAGTGCATAATATAAAGCATTAAAAAAAAACAAACAAATTATTTATAAATGGTGGCAAAGTATTTTATAAAAGATAAACATGAATTTCTCACACTAAATAGGCTTCTCTCGTGATCGAAGACACTCAAGTTCTCCTCTTTTCTGTCAACTTTATAAACAGTATTGTAGCAATCAGCTGCTACGCTTCTATTTCTTACGGCATGGCCATACTTCAAACACACAAGATTACAATCATTTCCTTTTGTGTGCACAATTAATTGGAAGAAAAAATTCTTCAAAGATTCGAAAGTTAAATATTTAAATCACTTGTACCAAGATATAAATAAAAGCTTTAGTTCAACCGTAACTGTATTCTCACATTATATCATCACTACTAAATCCTATTTCTCAGCAAGATTAAAACCTACATAAACATAAACTCTTCAGCATATACATGTAGATCTATGTACTTATTGCTAATTTTAAAGTCTTGATGCACCAGAAGGCTATTAAATATTTTTTACTTACTTAAATTTAACAAAAATAAGGGTTGCACACGTTCTTTAGCTAGTATTCTAGCTAGTTTTGATGCCAAATTAACCTCATATCATGGACAGAAATGAGTTATCTTTCAGGGGGTCAACTGGCTGGTATGAGACCAAAATAATGATGGCATGAAATCAATAGAAAGTATAGTGAACTTCAGAAAAACATCATTTATATTAGGTTTAACGATTTTGAATATGGTCTCTATATTTGCAGATTTGTTTGGAAAGGTTTTTTCTACGTTACGTAAATATAATGTTTTGGATGGCTGGCTTTTGGTGTATAACTCTTTTTTTTTCAAATCACTAACTCAAATTCAATAACATACTGGCTGGAAACTATGTAATTGAACTCAAAGTTTCAGTAAGATCAATTTTACAACAAATGAACTATTATGATTTACATTAAACGAAAGGAAAGGTGTTGAATATTGAAGTACCGTACAATATGAAAAGAAGGGGTCAGGATTGGAAAAGAAAAATGAGAGAGTACTACACTATACCCCAGAGTTTTGTTTTATAGTAACTTTATTTGAGAAGGGTAAAGGTTTAGGTTTCATAAATCTGAGCTCGATATTGAGTTTTGTGTCTTATCTAGTACACAAGTAGTCTACCGACTAATCCCTCAGCTAAATCTTTCATATTTTCTGGGGGTTTTTCTCTTTAAATAAACCTGGTGACGCATCTAGTCTCCATTGTCAATCATATTCTTTTCATGTAAAAATATAAGTCTTCTGGCTTTGCTTGATCATTTTTCACACAATAATTAATTGATCATAATTCGCAATTTGTAATCTGACATAGAAAATGCTGTTCAACTGTTGATGTTTCAAAGAAAAAGGAATGTAAGAATTGTGAAAAAAAGATGATACCATCCCTGCATCTCCTCTCCCTGGATGTGGATACTAATAGCCCTTCCATTGATATTGATGTAGAGAAAAATTATTTTGTTAGAAATTTGTGGGGTTAGTTAATATCAGGGATTTTCAAGTGTGAGCTGTGTGGCTGTGGCATATTGATGGGAATTCAAATGTGGCAAAGCCTTGCAACTGCATTCATGACTGAATGAAATATCAGCAGAACTGCACCAGTGATTGATTATTTCACACTATTGATTGAGTTCCTGACAAACCATGCAGAACTGTGTTATTTTCTCTACTGGCATTTTCTTGAACATTACAGTAAAGGTTACACTTGAAGAAAATTACTTGACGCTAAAAAGATTAATCATCACAATCATCTGTTCATTATTTATTTCATTTTGCCTCTACTCCACATGGGTCCAGGGTTTTCATATACTGGTACTATAAAGAGATTTTAAAGAGAGAGAGAGAGAGAGAGAGAGAGAGAGATGACTTTAAGATTCAGTCCAAACATTGGGGACAAACTTATGGTAGAAATTAGAATGTTATTTGAATATAATTTGCATACCTATTCGGGAGAGGAGGGGGGGCAGAGGGTGTGGGGGGGGGGCAGAGGACCCAGAGAAAACCCATAAGTTCAGCCAACCCTACTACTTGTCACCTACAAGCCTTAATTCAAAACCACTCCACTTAACTCAATGACAGACATTGCAATCCAAAGTGCAGGCATTAGACCACTAGACCACCCAACCCCCAAGAATTAACAGTTTTCTGATCAAAGGATATTTAGTTTTTATTATCATAAGCATAAACAGACTGTTGGACTGGGACAATTTCACAAGAAAGCAATCAATTTCCACACCCAATTTATAAAAATCAAACAAATTCATCATCCATTATTCACCTACATTTAACAGTGCAGTCACATGATTCAATTTAGCTTACACAAGTTTTTGACATTTTTATGATGATGGAACAATGCCTGTCAAAGTGTTTTAGATATCTCTATTACAATGAAAACAATTTACAAAGCTTTGCATTAACTCTGTCAACATATTGTTGCCATGAAACACCATACATATACCATGTTTCTGAACTTTACAACTTGTTTGATGGGTTTTAGATTTAGCCAGAACCATATGAAAACAACATGCACAGATATGTAAAGTTCAGGGCAAAAATCTAGTGTTTCCTAATATAACAGTAATAGATTCAACATTGCATGTTTCATGCAATAAATATGAAGAGATAAAGCGGGTATTGTCATACAAAATGACTCATCCATGGTTGAGTAAAAACTCACCAGAGCATAAATAAACATCCAGAAATCACTTTAAAACAACTTAGAAGCGTCAAGTATGTACAAAACCATAATTTATTTTCACATTAGAGAAAAATGGCTTTAATCCCAAATCGTTTCTTTATTTGAATAGCATGCACATAGGAAGTCTGATTTTCTTCAATAGAGAATTCTACTAAACTATTTGGTCTTGTATGATCATACAGAACTAACAGAATGAATGATTCCAATAATATGGTACTAAAAAAAGTTGTTGTGTAAAACAAGAAATAAATGTTTCCTGAAATTAATCTGACAACTTCTTGTAAATGAAATGAAATGGGGTAATGAATAAGGGCATATGCATACAGTGTGCTATGTGGGACATTTTGCCTTAACAGCAGCACTACGTACAGCATCTCTTACTTCAATTTACAACTGACTGAGAATCGTAAATGTGTTGCCAATGGTATACACAGGATTCAATGTTTGATATCACTCAAAAGACTTTTCCTTGCCAACCCCCCCCCCCCTCCCGTCTTTCTTGCACCACTGACAAAGGGAAACCAGTCTGGAAAATCCAGAGGGACATCCTCTGCCAACAGTGGGAGCAAAACCTAGGACTTCCTACTTAATTAGCAAGTGTCACAACCACCAAGCCACAGCTCACCAAGCCAGAGTTCTAAGTCAAGCACTTTTTGTAAGTTGAACGAGAGGTAACACATTAGTTTAAATCTAAATGGTAAACAATTGTAAATAAGTTTCAACCATGGTAGGCAAGCATATCACAAGCAGAACACCACCAGTAGTACATGTGTCAAACAGGCATATGACGCATTGCACAAAATAAATCTATTATTTAAAACAAAAAGGTTTTTATAACCTAATAATAATAATATCAAATAGAGGAAATCATGGAGACAAATGAAACAAAGAGAAGATTGTTTAAATCCCAAGTTAATATCAAATATATGATCAAATATAAGATAAAATAAAATGTCAACAAAGCTTTGGAGGTCTAAATGTAGATAGACATGTGGCGAAAAATAAACAAGACCAATTGATCCAATTTTAATACAGCTTCCTTTCTAGATTATAATTATACTGAATTAATTTCAAATAAATGTCATTAGAATTATGCATGCTTTAGAAGACTATTTTTTTTACTAGTAAATTCCTCGATTATATCAGGATGTTAAATGTCAATTATTAGCAGCAATATCACCTTTTACAAATTATTTTCATTTTAAATGTCAATCATTGTCAGTTAACCCAATGGTGGATTCCTTAAGATAAATATTACTAGCAATAATATAAATTTGTTTCTGTAAAAGTAAAGCAATGTTACTCAGAGATGCTAGATGTATTTGGCCTTAAATTTTATACAAGTTATTAATTAGACATTCATTCACATGACAAGCCCATAATCAACTCTCTGGATCTTCAGACAGTCACAATTTCTAATTGACTGAAAAGACCACCATGTAATAACTTAATTTAAAAAGAATTATAATCGACAGCAATGAAAATCGAGATTATGCTTTTCTTATGAAAACTTTCAACTTCATAACTTCACTAAGAATAAAATAACTTGACTTAAATTGTCAATATATTCCTTTTTCATTATCTATATTTACAATATAACACTAACAGCAAGAACGGTCAGCTCTTTATCTAAATCTTACATAATGCATCTTTAAATTCCATGCTAGGTGTTAGTCCAAAGTACCTGACTCTTTCGATGGCTATTAATAATAATACACTATAATAATTGTTTTGTTTTTTTAAGAATATTCATACAGATTCATAACTTATATTACTGGTGTACTGTTAAATGAAGCCCAAAAAGGAGAAACAATTATACATGCTCGCTTTAGGGCACCCTAAATTTGGTCCCAGAAATTGCAAATAGAAAATGGACAAAAAAAGCATTGAGAATCAACTGGTTATTGATATTAAAAGCACTGTTGTGAAATATCTAAAACCAGTTTTCTAATCAATAAATAAGGGAGTTGTTTTAAGTAATGAATGGGATGTGCATGTAATCAATGATCAAAATAGAAAATGAAAATTCCAAAATAAACTCACCAAGCCTGGTAAAACCTTGAAGAATTCTTGACAATTAATCTATATTTACAAGCCAACAACAAGATTCCATACATGTCATACGTCAGCTATCCATACACTGTCATTCCTAGCACACAGATATAACACCTCAAATTCTAATGGACACCAACTACTGAACACACCAGTTGAACATGCAAACCAAACTGATAAAACTAATTGCTTTGCAGGCAGTCTGACTCATGCTGCCATAACTGTAATATTCCTGCAATACTTCAAGTTATGCCACTCGAGGTTAACTTTTAGTAACAAATGTCTAACCTTGTCTAATGTCCCGTTGATCAGACAATCTCTCAGCCAACCACGACTTGTCAATGCAGTTATTGATCTGTTGAGTGAAAAATAAACTTTGAGCCGATAGCTATGTATGCTAGAACAGCACAATTTCAAACTGATTGCAAAAAATTGACAAAAAAGGGTTCTAATGTGATTTTTTGTGAGAAAATTAATCTCCTGCTGAGATTTAATTAGTACCTATGTTATTGTTCGACCTGCCATTTTAGTTGTTAATGGTCGTACAATATAAAACATGTCGTTATCAAAGTATTTTCTGTCCCCTATTTATTTTGTCAATTTAGCCCCAGGGCATCATTTGGTTCACTGAAATCCTTGAAATACTCCAGAAACCAGCTGTTTTGAATCAAACTTAACAATAACTATTGTCATGACCTATTCAATCAATGATTTTTGTTGGTTTCACACAAGTTGTTCACTGGTTGATCAAATATTTATAATTAGACTTGTCAAAGAAAATTATGCATTTCAAACACTTTCTGAACTTGATTTTGCATTACAAAGTCCAACAGATATTTTCTTCTCATAAAACAGCATTTGGATATTTTGAAGAAAACGGATCAATGCAGGTCACCACCGCAAGACAATGAAATTTAAGAATGTAGAATCATCGATTATTTCGTCCTATTTATATATTGATTAATTTAATTCAAGATGCACCATATCTGGTGCCATGTGTGAGTTGCACTATAGAAACAAGTTATTGAGTAAAACTCATCAGGGATCTTCGAGGATTATAAGATCGCATGTCAACCAGAACTAGAGCTAAAGTATTATTAACCAAATAACAGATTTTATTTTATTGAAAAAAGATGAAAGAGAAATGGGGTTTAACATCCACTCAACACAAACTAGGTCATTTCAGGACTAACACATAGTTCAATTTCATTTCAATAATTCGCTTGCTGTGGGGTCTTTAGCTGTGGGAGGAAACCGGAGAACCCAGAGAAAACCCACAAGGTTGGGCAGGTGACGCTACTCCTTGCCACGAACAACCGAGGAATCGAAACCATGCTAGTTGACTCAATGGCAGAGCTTATGATACAGCGCGTACGTGCTAACCATTCGGCCATCCACCCCCTGCAATGCTCTGGGGAGACTCAAATGGACAACAGTTCTTTTACGCTCCAATATAAATAAATTCATTCAATGTTGTTTATCAAACCCACTCAATACAAATATAACAAAATCAAATTTTGCTTACTTCATTTTTTACTTGAATGGACATAGGGGGGAGTTTATTACTTTAAATCCATACTACTATGCGGCAAAAGCCATAACCACTTCTAAAACAAAATGTGATGTAAATAAGTTATACTGGAATAGGCAACAGTTTTCCATGACCTCTATAATCATTTCCTAAGATTCCAACTAGAGTTAGAATTCTACACTTTCCAAGACCCCAACACAATACAAATAGATGAAATTACAATCAACATTACCCTTTCACACATAAAGAAATCTAGATTCATATTTCTCCTTTGAGCATTTCCTTGAACTTCACAGAATTGTCACTAGAATTACCCTTAGGATATACTAATAACTATAATCATAAATGCTATAAAAGGGGTTTAACATCCACTGAACACTTGATCATTTGTTTACGAAATACCATTTAATAAATATCATTTTATTAAAAAAAAAATATTGAAAAAACAACCTCTAACAACGGAGGGATCCAACTCAAGTGAGTCAAACAATTTGGTGGACCTTGATTTCTAGACCATTCCTTTATATACCACACAAATTGCACCTACTTTCCCAAAGTTATGTCCAGAAATTTGAACATAATCAAAAGGATGACTATGATTTACGGTTGAAAAAAAATCAAAATTTCGATAGGGTTCCACATACTAGTAAAAGAACCCTTGGAATTTGAAGTAGAGTAAGTGGAAACACTACTGTCCGGTCAAAACTTCCTCTATAGCTCACTGCATGGCATATGCCTGTCTCCTTTTCATTAAATGTCAACGTATTTAAAGAAACATGTGACTTGTTTTAAGAGGATCTGCCCCTGAAATGCTAGGTAAGGACATAAAGTAAGGACATAAAATGATGACACAAGTTCTTTGATGTAAAAAGATCCGGTTAAAAATGTAAATTACGAAGTTTTATTCAATGTCATTCTTTTCTTTCCCGCTTCACTGAAGACAGCTCAAAACATGATCAATCATGGGTTGCACTATTTGATAAATCCTGGTAAAATTTATGTCTATTCACTGCACATCAAAATACTCATTTTAATCTGGTTTATGTACTGTACTACTGTAGTACTAGCACTGATTTCAAGTAAGGCCAAAAACAAAAAATACCCGTGTTTACTGTTATCTGACTAATCCTTTTATTTAAAGCTAAAATTGTGGACATAAAACTTTTTTTCTCCATTATTTCACACGTCCTATAAATTGGTCTTAGCAAAGTTTTCTGCAGACAAATTCCAACACTGAAATTTTGGTATTTACAAAAATCTGAATTGGCATTATTTGCTGGTATGTTGTTATTCAGTAATTAAGCTAGAAATAAACAGAAAAAAACATCTAACTATATTTAAAATTTCACATATAATTTTTCAGGTGCAAAGTCATGGTTTGATATAAAGTTTATTACAGATTGTCTTTGATCTTAACACATAGTTAATATTAGCGACTGATTCGTTAGTCTTTATATTCAAAGCATGATTTGGGTGACAATTTCTGATATTTAATGTCAGAATCCACATGGATTGATTGGGATGACAGAATTGTGCAAATTGTATGAGATATTTTTCTGCCCTGTCGACATCGAAGAAGTACAAATTTTATATAACAATATCTATATGGATCAATATAAGTTAAGTGTATTTGAATACATGTACACGTACCTATGCATTTTAACTATGTGACATGATTGGTCTTAGATAACTTTTAGTGACAGGCTTGTTACTGAACCGACAAGTATGAAAACTAAACAGCTTTCGTCTAACATTTAGAGTTGTTACTTTTTGAAAACATGAGAATATATTATTAGTTCAGCTATAGTTCAATCCAGTCTTTTCCCACAGATCACACAATTTGGGAGCCAAGTAACTGTAAACATAGGTACCAGATATTTTTGTTTTTGGCCTAATGAGTTTATCTCTCCAATAAAATTAATATTACAAATATTGAACATGAAAATCTATTATTTCTACAACTATTATGTTATAAAAACCTGTCGGCTACATTCCACTTCTCTGATGCTCCACTATAACTCAACTCAATAACTAAAATCAATGTCACTTTATTTTTTTGTTAAGATTATTACGAAGACATTACAGGTATCATATTTTAACTCAATACCTGGTATGGCAAAATTCATTATCATTATTTTCGTTACAAAAAAGCAACTTGAAACATGATATTTTTGCAAGTAAAAAATGGTAGGCATATGTAATATAGTATTCAATAGAATTAATGAAAGTAAGTAAAAAAACAAAAATATGTAAATATATAAGAAATAGAAACCTAAAATCAAAGATCTATATAGCAATCATAAATAGCAGACGCTTTCATAGTGACAATGAGAATACCAGTGATGCATTTAAAATAGATTCCATATAAAAACATACGTAATGGTACATTCTCACTTAATTCCCCCATGCAAGAAACTAAGTAAAAACAAATACATATATATGGAGTATTAGATTGTCATTTCGTCCATTTGATAGGTTGGGTTGTTTGTTTTTTGGGGGTCTTTTGAGTGTCACAAAAAAATCAGGGAGTTAGAATTCAGAAGAGCGATATTGTATGCTGCATTGTGAATTAACTGGTGAAAATATACCCGCCATTGAAGAAGACCAATAGACCAAAAAGTGTTTAAAAAACATCTATGAAAGAAAGATGAAATAAATAAGGATTGTGAAAGTCATTATAATGCATAATTACTGACTTTGAAAAATAAATACAAAATTTACAAAACTAAATACTCTGCATTGAGAAAAAAATATTTATAGCAAATGAGAAGGTTTCCCCGACCTAAATCAGTTCTTGAATAAATTACGACCTCCTACACAACCATGGTGTGTCCAGCAACAGTTTCACATTGGTTATTGACATCTATTTATCTATGAAATCAGAAAGAATTCCCTCTAAGACGCGAATATCCAGGTCTACTATCTATCATGACTAGAACCAATCTGTTTCACAGAGTATTACAAAAGTCTTCTAATAACTCTGTAAAAGAAGACTGCTTTCAACATATGACATCACATCATGCGGTGTCATTTTACACACCCATTTACACTAAATAGGAAATATTGTTTACCTACATATACTTCAAACACCTTTATTTTTCTAATGCTTAAAAAACATGTTCTAGAATCTAATTTGCAGAAGGAAAAAAGTTAATGATTGGGGGCTCATTAAGCCGCATCGATGTCATCCCTATCAGTGATTGTAGCGACCGAGCGAATATTCATTGCTGATCAGTGTGGACTAGAAAATGGCTGAATTTCTTTTTTTTGATGGACGTAGACTACCATTTTTGAATGTATAAAATGATTTTGACAGCGGCAGAGTCGTGCACTGAAGTAAATATTTACTTTTTACATCCAAATTGTTGTATTTTAAAACTTGTTGTGGATATATTCAAAGAATTAACCCAAAATCACAAAATCTCGTTTGAAGGATAATAATGAACAAAGATTTTAAAATACTTTGAGTACATATTTTTTGAACATTTTTGGTGTCGAAAGGTCGCTTATAACTTCTACTTTCGATCTAAGGGATGGATTATTAATATTATTAATATTTCCAAGAAAACTAATCATTTTTTGGCGTTTCTATGGATATTAAAGTGTCCCTTAGGTTTTGTCGTTTGAGGGTTCACAAGGTTCTACAAACCTTTTGAAATTTGACAGGCTTTTTCGTTTTACTAACTTAAATAATGCATATCAATTTCATACAGATCGGATGATAACTTTTGTCATTCGAATGTTCACAAGGTTCACAAAGTAAAACAAGTCATAA